ACCAATCCGCCCCCAACTCCGCCCCCAACTGCTTATTTAGCCCACGCACATGCTCCTCTAATTTTTTTTTTTTTAAATTAAATATACAATTTCTTTTTTCTTTATTTCTATTTTAAATATGAAAATTAACTAATTTTAATTAAAAAAAAATTAACTTCATATGATTTTTTAGACTTAACTAGACTAAACTAAAATAAAATATAAATATAAATATTAAAATGATATTTTAATTTTTAACCTTATAAAGAATTTGTGCTTTACATGTTAGATTTTATATAATTTTTTTTTTAAAATATTGGTATTATGTTCAATTTATATATTTCTTTTTGTCCACTTTATTTGGACAAAAAAAAAAAAAAAAAAAAGTTCTTGAATGGGCTTCCGGCTTTGGCCCATCACTCAGCCACGGAAAGCTCAGTACATGGGCTCCTTATCAGTGGGCTTCCGGCTTCGGCCCATCATTGAGTCACGGGAAGCTCAGTCCATGGGCTTCTTATCCGTGGGCTTTCGGATTTGGCCCACGTACTAGGGAAGCTCAAAAGTTTCAATTTACGAAAAGAATTAAAGAATTATAAAACTTGAAAATTATGTAACTAATTTAATTTGTATTAATATATAGTTAAGTTTTTCTAATTATGATTATTATTTATAATCAATAATTATTTTTTAAAACATACTTATAATCGGTATCAATTAGTTCATTATTTGGCTCATTAATTAAAGTCTTTGAATGTTGTACACTTCCATCTAAAGGGTAAGACATTCGAATATTCTATCTCACTTTTGGTATGGATTTTAAAAAATCAACCAAAGAATAAAACCTTAAAAGAAATGTGTGGCGCACGCACCTTTCCTTTACCATTCTTCTTCCTCTCCTCCCCAATTGGGATTTATCCTTCTCTCTCTCGCTATCTCTTCTTCTTCTTCTTCCCTTAACCAGACCTCCACCGCCCACGGTTTGAACGTCGCTGAATTGCCCTTTGTCGTGAATTGACGACAGGATACTGTTGATGGGAAGAAGCTGCATCTGGTGCGAGAGTTCGCCAGAGCTACTCATTTTTATGGCATTTGTTGCTGCTCAACTATTAACCTCACTTTTATAGTCGATAAATGTACTTATTTTTTTAAAATATACGATTCAAATAATTTTACCTTATTTATTTGTAAAAAATTGATTTAACTTTAGATAAAAAACATTTATTTTTTTTGTTTTTTCCCTCTATTTTCTTTGTGTTAAAAAACATTATAACATGGTTGGTCAACCAAAGTACTAGGTAGCAAAAGAGCACATGGGACTGTTAAACCCATGTGACAATAATTTACTATTCTTTAAGGTATTTAAAACGAGGTTTCGTATATTACTCAAAGATAACAAAAATTTTATAATTCACCCGTTAAAAATAAAGGTAAGATCGTACGATAATATAAAACGATTTAATAAAACTATAAATAAATTCATGATTTAATTTCAATTAGATCTGACTTAATTTAAAATTTTATTTTATTTTATTTATAGAAATTAAAAAAAAAAAAAAAAAAAAAAAAAAAAAAAAAAAAAAAAAAAAAAAAAAAAAAAAAAAAAAAAAGAGGCGAATCTAAAGGTGGATTGGAACGCAGCGTTGAAGTTGGCATCTCACATGTACGGACATGGACCCGGCGGTTCGGGTGGCGAGTGTTGGTGGACAGGAATCTGTCAGTCTCACTATCCTTCTATTTATATTTTTATATTTTATTTTGAATCCTAAATTTTGGTAAAATTAAAATATTGGCCAAACGAATCTAGTAAATTACAGGGGCAGTTATTTCCTTTTTCCTATATTAATAAAGCTGCCCACTGGGTCCCACCTCTACCCAATTAATCGATTTAAACTGGGTAATAAAAATTAAAATATATTTAATGAGTGAATTTATATTTGTTGTAATAGAGATACATAATATAAAAAATATTAAAAACATCACGTGCATGTGCTTCGTAAATGGAAACATTGCCAGAATACAAACGGTATTTTATTAATTTTATAATTTATATATTCAGATAAGCCTCCCTCCCTCCTTCCTTGTTCCAATCAAACCTTCCCCAGCTTCACTAAATCCCAACCTTCTTTATTATCAAATAATAATCCATGGATCTTATTAGGGAAGGAAGGTGCTCCCAATGTTCTAACGTCTATACTGACTCTAAGATAATAGCTTTACGAGCTTAGTCTTAATTTACTGACCGAACCCTTAGAGCATGCTACAGCCCCAAATGTCAAAGAGCATTTGGTTATTGAACTGAGACAGACGGTAAAAGATAAACAAAGGGGTTCAAACTATTTGATTTAAAAGTTGGAATTTGTTTTAAAAATTGTAACTTTACGTGGAAAAGCAATTAAGGAGTTAATGGTAACCATGTGATTTAATTTAGGATCGCTTCTTAATTAATCTCAATAATTGAAACTTAAACCATTTCACACGTGCATCATTTCATTTGATCTGGAAAATTATACAAAATAACTTTTTTTTAAAAAAAAAAAATTAATTAAAATATTATATTATGTACCAAATGAAGAGATAAGGTTTGGAGCATTATGGTTAATTTAATTAGGATCCTAAAAAGAATTATATAAAAAAAAAAATAGAATTAGGGTTTGTGGGGGAAGACGGTGAGAGTAGCATACAGCGAAGCAACAGAAGCTAAGAAGAATGAAAATGGCATTATATATCCAAACCCTAAACCATTTTTTCTCCGAAACCTCATTTTTGGGGTTTGTTTAGGGTTTTTTGGAGACAGTACAGTTGTTGGTCGCTGGTGTGGCATTATCAAGATTCACACTCATATGGGTTTCGGAGCTTCCCGAGTTCTTTGCTGCAGCTGAGAATCTTGATGATGCTGCATCGGCAATCAACCACTTTGTTCATCATATAATCACCACTCAATTTTTTTTTTTCTGGGTATAATATGCTGTTCAAAATAGACCCAGATTCCAGATCTGATTGTTCTCAGGTAATATAATTAATTATAGACACTGGGATTTGTTTTTTTGGATTGTGTAATTGGATTATGGTGGAAGGAGGAGAGTTTTGTAGCTTTTTTACAGGCCAAGAAAGGGAAGAGAATCTCGAGAAATGAAGAAGATGCCCCAAATCCTCTACAAATGGTGAATTCTTGGCTAATTTGGAAGGAAGTGGGAGGTTATTGTCCGCTTAATCTACCGAAAGGTCAAATGTTCGAGTAAACACTTGATGTCTACTTCATGGGGGAGGTTGTTGCCACTCGTAACGTCTACCAAAAGGTCGAATGTTTGAGTAAAACACTTGATGTTTGCTTCATGGGGGAGGTTATTGCGTTCTTAACGTCTACAAAAAGGTCAAATGTTCGAGTAAAATACTCGATGTTTGCTTCATGGGGGAGGTTACCAAAAGGTCAAAGGTTTGAGTAAAACACACGAGGTCTGCTGCTTCATGGGGAGGTTATTACATTCTTAACATCTACCAAAAGGTCAAATGTTCGAGTCAAACACTCGATGTCTGCTTCGTGGGGGAGCTTATTGGGGTGTAATTGTAGTGTTGTTGAGTCTCAGGAGTCTGTCCGGTTCGACCATGTCTTGTTGACATACGAGGCACGTCGTCTTTACATACTCAGCAACGTCGTGTTGCATGCTCGGGTAGTAGTATTGGAGGTTGGGGGTGGAGCAATGGGAGGAGACATTTGTGATGTACGTTCTTTTCCCCTCACTCACTCTCTCTGTTTGTTTGTTTATAAGTATGACAGACAGCGATGGTTCAGGAAGTTGGAGATTGTGAAGATCTCCTACTCGCTTACTTGTGTCACTCACTGTGTGGTTACCATATTTGCAGCTTCCCTCAGATGAGATCTTTCCATTCATCATTAGTTTGATTGCTCTCTATGAATCAATCAACTTGTATGTGACGCCTAAACACACAAATAATGCTTTTGTTTTAGCTACTCATTTTGGGTTAGAAATGGTTGTAATTTAGTGTATGAATTCATGAAGAATGTGGGTTTTGTGTTCTGTTTTGCCTTGCATTTGCATCATTTCTGAGTTCTTCACATTTCTTTTCAAATCTACGGTTCCTTTTGATTAAATTAAGAATGATATCTGCTAGTTGTGGGCTTGTACGGTTATAAATGGTATCAAAGCCACACATCTGATGATGTGTGAAGGCTAAACCCTGAAGGAGGAGGGGGCGGATAAGAGGTTGTGGGCTAGCAAAGACCCAGTCCCGAAGGGGTGGATTGAGGAGTCTCACATCGATTGGAGATGGATACGAGTGCCAACAAGGACGCTTGACCTCGAAAGGGTGAGATCCCACATCGGTTGGAGAGGAGAACGAAACATTTTTCACATGTAGAAACCTTTTCCTAAGAGACTCGTTTTAAAAATCTTGATAGAAAAACTGAAAGAGAAAACCCAAAAATGATAATATCTACTAACGATGAGTGTGGACCACTAGAGACTTCTAAGTAAACCGTAACAATGATAGTAGAGCATCAAAGAATAAAACATCAATAAACAACTAAAAACAACGTTGTCTCCTCCATTGATTTTGCATACTTATTTTGACTCGAGATGTTCGTATCAACATGGGTATGGATATAATATCAAGTTGGGCAATAATGTAAATATAATCCAACTATGGTAACAGGAAGAATATATGAAAATTATAAGCGTTTGTTGGGAATATGAAAAATATGAAGGGCTAAATAGCAATGGACAAACTCGGAGAATATTTCCAACTAGGAGACTAAAATGGACGAGGCTTCACCCAAATGCCCCAATTAGTGGAAAATATTAAAATAATCCATAAAAAATTAATATAAATATAAACGAAAAAGAAATTCAGAAAACGTGGCAGAGGAATGGGATGCGTGGGGCCCACGTGAATGATGAATATACATGTGGCAGACACGCAATGGAAGGAAGGGTCCCACGTCATCCACCATTGCCATCTCCTCTCCTCTTTTGGATTCTGTTTTGCATTTATTATCAGAAAATCACATAATTCGTCAATTCTTAAGAATTTCAGTAATGTCGATTCCAAATCTCCTGAAAACCCTCAAAACAGTCAAAGGAAATCGCCAATCCAATCCCTCATCGAAACCACTCGTGGAAATCATTTCAACGATCTTAGCTCCGGCGCCGTTCAATTCCAATGAGTCATGCTTCATCTCCCAACTCAAGCCCCATGTTCTCACTTCCATTCTCTCTAATCCAAATCTTAGATCTTCAGAATGCTTCCATTTCTTCGATTTTTGCCTAAAAAATCAGCCTCTCATGTCCTTCACGCCTGATCTTCAGGCCCATTTGACCGTCATTTGCAGGCTTCTCAAGGCAAGGATGTTCTCCGATGCAGCAAGCCTTCTGAAAACTGTATCGATTGATGGAAATCTCCGCTACCCATTTGCTATTATTGCTTCGACGGTGGAAAGTTGCTGTCAAGAAAGGAAGGTTAAGGTAAAATTTTTCAATTTCATGCTTACTCTGTACTCGGAGTATGGGTTCTTCGACTCTGTTTCTGAAACTTTTAGCTATATGAAGAACAATGGGATTATGATCGATGAGCAGAGCTGTACTGTGCATTTACTATCGCTTAAAGGATCTAATCAGATGCATTTAGCTTTAGATTTCTTCTACCGAATGCTTAAATCAAGATTAGAGGTCTCTGTTTATTCTTTAACCGTTGTAGTGGATATCCTGTGTTGGAATGGAGAGATTAAGAGAGGTAGAGAGTTGGTGGAGGAGACGTTGGGGAAGGGAATTAAACCCAACATTGTTACATTCAATGTGATGGTTAGTGCTTGCGCTAAGAGATGGAATTTCGAGGAGTTGGATTTGATACTCCTTTTGATGGAAAAAGAAGAAGTTCGTTTTGATGCCAACACTTATAAACTTTTAATTGATGGGTTCACGAGCTCGGGAAAGAATGAGACGGCCAAGAACTTGGTGATGAAGATGCACGACGAGGGCTTGAAGGCAGATCCCCATTTGTATAATCTGATTATTAGAAGCTACTGTAAAGCAGGGGCGATCCAGAGTGCATGTTTAGTGTTCGACGAAATGTCTGACAGAACTGTTGCCCCGAATTCTGATACATATTGGGCTCTAATAGATGGTCTGTGCAAGGTAGGAGATATGGGGCTTGCAGTAGAATATGTAAATGGAATGCAGAGCAAGGGAATCAAAATGGATGAAGCAATTTTCAACGCATTGGCTGATGGTTTTTGCGAAAGGGGAATGGTTGATGAAGCTATTGAGCTGCAAATAATGATGGAGAAGGATGGGTATCAATTAAATCCATCGGTTTGTGAAAAGATTGTGTTGGAATTATGCAAGTTGAATCGGACTAAAGAAGCAACAATGGTGTTAAGCATCTTGGCTAAACGTGGGGCTGATCTTCGCAGACTGATTCCAACCACTTTGGAACTAATTTGAATTACTCTGAGGCCTGAACTGATTCATAAGTGGTCGATGAACACAAACGAACTAAATTGAATTACTCTGCTGCCAGTCGCAGGCTTTCGAGCTCAAATCTGGGTTCTGACCCTTGATTTTTTTTTTCTCTCCTGTTTAATGGTTCTAAGAAGCACCTACTTTCCTAGAGACCGGGGCGGGGATAGACCAGAGTCAACACGCAAGCGCCAAGCTACAGGTCCTGTGGAGCTCAATGGCTGCACAGATAACTTTGTTACAAATTAGGCTTCTTTTTTTGTTGAGAACTAAGCAGTATTCTGTGCGGTAGGACAGGAATGATCATATTTGTCCTCTACATTCATCTATCATAAACAAATTAGTGGAATATGTGTATTTATATACTAAAAGGGACCGCTACAACCCGAAGCAAGTCAATCACAAGGAACACCTCTCTGTACATTTTTTTAACCCGGGGGAAGTGGGGAGGGGCGGAGGCGGGGGCGGGGGCGTTTATGCGCACGTAGTCTTGAGCTAATACCAGGAAAAGAGACCTTGAGAAATCAAGAAAGGAAACCAAAATTCTTGAGCTACCCCTGAGGAGCTCCAGAGAGAATGGGGCCCCCCTCAATAGCTGAACCATGCTTTCTCATGGCTGGAATGCTAAGGGAACGTTTCTTCATTTTCATAGCACCAGAGGTTTTGCTATTTCTTTCTTTCTCCTTAAGAAGAGAAGAAAAGGAGCAGAGTGACTTGGATGACTTGCTTTTAGAGCGCAGGACGCGGTCCAGGTTCTGGCGATACCTATCAACTTCTCGAGCACTCATTTGGCCCTTGGTAACAGATCCAGCCTTTTCCATGTCCTCATTGTCATCATCTAACCAGTAACCATGATTCACGTCCAGCATTGCCAGATCATCATATTCTTCATCTGATTTTGTCGACTCTTCATCGACTGAGCCTACCTGTGAACCATCATGTAAAATATTCAAATTCTGATCCTAAAGCTTCGCTACCATACCAAGCATGAAGCAAATTACTAAACAGCATTAATATAAATAGGATCCAATGCCAAGACAAGGCTAGTGCATGATATTGTTAACAAATTATATTGGATACTCTGTAGCAAGAAGAGCTCCATTGGAGAACTCCAAGAACTCAGTGCAAAGGACCAAGCTTTCAAACATATTTAGCAATTCTTGTAGGTAAGAACCAGATAATACCTCTTCATGAATCTGTTTGTCACCATCTTCACTAAAGTCTTCATCACTGCCAAGCTCTTGAGGATCATCAACCTCTTCCTCACTACCGTGCACTGAGATATCTTCCTTGAGCTGAAAAAGAACAATGGGCCATCAGAGCTATACATAAATTATACTCTACAACCGAAGAGGTAAGATAGCATCGAAGAAAAGAAAAAAAGAAACAGATGTCGCATTTATACAGCTTGAATATTTGCTTTTAAATTTCCAAAACTAATGAGCACCGAGTATTGGGAAGTCAGTATTCTTCTAAACATAAACATAAAAAATTAGACGACGAGTTCTTCAGAAAATTAAAATAATTTTCCAAACTACCTCCTTGGAAGGTCCATCGGAAAACCTTGGAGAGCTGCAGCAAGAAGAATGGTATTTACTAGTATCAGTCCAATCTGGCCTGGATTCATCCACACTCCCTACACGGCTGGTCCCACCATCAGAAGGCCAAGCACTGATGCCATAGAAACCAAATTGAAGATTAACAGTTTCAGCTTTACCAATCTGCAATGGACCATACATTGGAGTCCCAAATCCATTCTCAGTCCTCGGGCCTAATAAAGGCTTCCCACTTGTATTATCAATTGGATCAACAGGCCAAGCCTTAGCTACCGATCCGTCAGTATTAACCAAAGCCATGAGATTCCTAGATGAGCCTTTCCTCTGGATGAGTTGAAACATGCACTTAGAGCTCAACGAGTTGGCTGCACACTGATTCCTGTATTCCTCGTCAATAATAGGAACAGTATTGCGTACAGGATCATATAGTTGTTCGCCTGCTTCACGCCTACGAAGGCAGCTGAATACTGTTGCATGGATGGCAGCTACACTCTTGTCAACATTGGTATTGTTTATTTTAGGGATAAGATGCTTATCAGCCCTCTTGCATAAATATTCTTGTATTGCCCTAATATTTCGTATATACTTCACATATCTGTTCTTAGCTGGATCAAGTGTCATATATTTTGCTCTCACAGCAAATCTTTCCATGTGCTTGTCCTCATTGGTGATGTAAATCATGAATGGTACAATTGATGGATGTTTCTTCATGAGCCCCATCTGCAAAAACAGCGTTGGAGTAAATGCCAAGAAGAATATAAAATCTAGATAGATAGGGAAGAAAAGTCAACTGAAGATTACACACCACAAAATTTAGGCTTAAGTGAACACCCTCAACAACCACTGATTCTTTCCGCTCTTCCCATGCAGTAATCAGCCTATCAAGACTGTCAATCACCATTTCACTCTGAGCCTTGTATCCTTCAACAGCCATCTGCTTTTGACTGATTAGCTCAGTGCAACGATCCGATGGTTGGCCATCAAATTTTCCAATGGAAGAACTCTCCAGTACTTCATCCTTCAGATATGAATGAGGATTGCCTTCCAACTTTGTTGCTTTTCTTTTTGCCTTGGCTTCAGCGACAGCCACTGGATCCAAAACCTCCCCAGCATGGTAAGTTGAAGCCCAGAGTAGAGGATTTTGTTTCTCATCTACAAAACTCCTCATCATATGCCGAATTGAGTCGGTTGATATTACTGTCGTAATTCCTAACCTGCTACCCTGTCAGACAAAGTGAAGTGTACTTAAGTTAGAAGATTTTAAAACTACTTTCAACTAAAACTCCATGCCATGCATTGCAGTTAGCTGTTGGCACTTCAAGAAACTGTAAAAGCTTGAATAATGCAACAAATTTTTGTCCCCAAAGATTCAAGTCTCTGCAAGGATATACCAGCAGAGCGGACAAGGTAGATTTCCCACAGCCACTAGTACCACATAATAGTACAGTCATAGATTCCTTCCTTTCCCGGATTCTGTGAAAACAAAATATCGTTACACGAATTACAAACCAGCTAGACAAATATAATGGTGCTTATCAGACTTGCAAGCAGCCCCAAATCTTCGTACAATATCCATGCATAATAGACACAAGAAATTTAATTCATGAAACCAAGGGACTGTCATAAGTGTTCATATGTGATCAGGTTAAGACAAGACACGACATTTTTAGTATTAAGACCCAAAGAGACACCAAGAGGGTTACATGGATTACAAATAGCACCAGTATTCTCTTTTCTATGGTTGAAAAATCCTCCACTTCCTCTCCCTCAGGTTTACCATAGAATTTCTCTCCCCAAATCTACCACAAGACAGACCAGATGTAAATCTAAAATAGTCAGATCCACATAAGAACTTTCTGGCATGAATAAGATTATCTCTAAACTTACCCTTGTACAAAGCTACTTGAACCTAAACTACACATGACTAAACCACAGAATTACCTATTAGTGGAAAATAATGGTAGATTAACACACAAGAAAAACAGGTAAACGTAATGGGTACTTTATTCAAAGGCTCATATCGTTTAGAGTTTACCTGCAGGCTAAAAGCAAGTCAGCCCTCTGGTTGGGACTCACGTACTTGTATTCTGTCAGGGCTTTGCATACAACATCTAAGAAGGTTGCTCTCCTTACAATGAGGGTTGTGCGCCTTTTATAAATCTCAAAGGGAATGTTTTTGTTTCCACCATCTTTAGATAAACTTAGATGTTCTTTTCCAGAAGATCTTGTCTCAAACCCTTCAGGATGCACATCATAACCTTTACGCAACAACTCAAAAGCCCTTTGGCTTATCTAATCAAGTAATCACAGGAAAAAAATCATAACCATCAGAAAATTTCAAGGCTTTAAACATTGCTTGGAAACATAACGAATCAAATTAATTTGATGTGAAGCTAGATAAATAAAGCAAAACAGATGATGAAAATGTTGTATAACAGTCCAAATTTTCAGAAGATCAAAAGCAAACATCATAAATATTGATAACTTGTGGCTCCCACTCAAACCTCTCTCTTGAATTTGTAAATTCAGATCGAAGATAAGGTTGTAGACAAGGCATTGTACATCCACCTCCATACTCTTCAGTTGCAAAGGTGATGAATGTATCCATCACTTCGCCGTTGGGAATAAAAAAAAAACCGAAAGAATTATAGACAAATAGCATTGATGCACGAGGATGGATGAGATTAAAACAACTTAGAACGCCACATAAACACTAAGGGTTATCTCTGCATGATGGTAAACACCCAGGCTTCAAAACTCAAAATCATAAACTTCTATTTACATAAATCAAGGTCGGTGCATTATTTGTCACTGCCGTTGTAGGATAGAATTTGTTTTAAAGAACTGCCTGCCAATAGAAAACATGACAATGCAAGGTACACGCGAGAGAGAATTGGAACAGGACATCCAAAACAGGCCATTCTTGAAAATGGCCAAGATATTGAAAGTATTCGGTATGCAAAGTTCACGAAATAGAAAAGGTGAACCACAATTTAAAGCATACGATAGGAACAATGAATAATATCTCCACCAACGACAAACAGCTTAGTGGACAAGGGAAAGGAAAGATAGGAAGTTGAAAGGCAGCATGATGATGACAACAACGATGACAACAACAGAGAAATAAACATAATCAAAGAAGAACAGTTTGGTCTCGCAGAAAAAAAACAATAAAAGCAAGAGAAAAGAAATAATTATGCATCCCACAATAGCAAAAATAGAACATATAGAACTCATAAACAAGAAACGACAGGGTAGATGCAGATCTGACCTCCACAACTTCAATTCAGATACGCAAAAAATAGACCACAACCCAGACAGAGAAAACAACGAAACAAATATGAGAATAACCATCCATCTTTTCTCGCCCAAGGAAGAACATAATGGTGAAGGTAAAGGAAAATCAGTCGGCAAATCTTAAATTGAGATATAGAGAAAGAAGGCGTCAAATATGAAGCACCTTGAAAGCATGTCGTGCCTTGCAACCCATGAGCTGCAGAGTGCTTTGCAAAACGGGGCGAGTATACCGGAAAGACCCCTTCTCCTCCTTCACTTGTTCTTCATAATCCAGAACCACAATATACAACACCTTAGCGACCTCCGCCATCTATGTCAAAGCCAATAAAATTCTGTATGCATCAATTAACAAGTAAAAATCGAAATCCAATCATTGGACAGAATAACAGAGAAACAAGCTACAACGACGTTGGACATTGTCACAACATGGCACAAATACAGCACGTAATAAAAACGAAATTCAAATGGAGATAGGAACAGGCAGGAGAAAGAGAAGATAAACGTGTGAGAGAGAACCAAAAGGCAAAGTGATAGAAAGCGATTGAATAAGTAGGAA